TTAATTGCTGTGTAGTATTCCATTGTGTAAATGAACCACACTTTCTATATCCATTCCTCTGTTGAGGAACATCTGGGTTGTTTTCAGCTTCTGGCTATTACGAAAAAAGCTGCTATGAACATGGTTGAGCAAATGTCCTTGTTGTATACCTGAACATCTTTTCGATAGGAGTGGTATAGCTGGATCTTGAGGAAGACTCCTAATTTTCTGAGAAAGTGCCAGATTTATTTCCGAAGTGTTTGTACAAGTTTACATACCCACCAGCAATGGAGGAGGGTTCCCTTTTCTCTACATCCTCTCCAGCATGCATTGTCACTTGAGTTTTTGATCTTAGCCATTCTCGTTGGTGTAAGGTGAAATCTCAGGGAGGGCAAACACAATAGACATCAGGAGCAAGAGAAGACAGGGAACAGGACAGGAGCCTACCACAGATGGCCTCTGAAACTCTATTGATCCAGGTATCGAAGCAGAGGCTGAGACTCACAGCCAAACTTCGGACAGAATGCATGGAATTTTATGAAAGAAGAAGTAGATAGACAGACCTAAAGGGGACAGGAGCTCCAAAAGGAGATCAACAGAGCAAAAAAATAAAAATAAAATAAATAAAATAAATAAAATAAATTCTGAGCCCTGGGGCCCTGAAGAGACCCATACCCTAGCAATCAAGGACCATGCACGGAGATAACCTAGACCCCTGCACAGATGTAGCAACAGATTCAGTCTCCAAGTGGGTTCTATAGTAATGGGGACAGGGACTGTCTCTGACATGAACTCAGTGGCTGGCTATTTGATCACCTCCCCCTGAGGAGAAGCAGCCTTACCAGGCCACAGAGGAAGACAATGCAGCCAGTCCTGATGAGACCTGATAGGCTAGGGTCAGATGGAAGGGGAGGAGGACCTCCCCTATCAATGGACTTAGAGAGAGGCATGGGAGGAGATGAAGGGAGAGTGTAATTGGGAGGGAATGAGGGAAGGGGCTACAGCTGGGATACAAAGCGAATAAACTGTACTAAACGATAATAAAAAGACAAGAAGTGGTGGGCATTTAGCAGGGAGGATTTGGCACAGCACTTGCCTGCCACAACTCTCAACCCTGGGCGTGTCCACTTGCCTTCCACTGGCATGGTGATGTCTTCCCCATACCACCAGCTGCTAGGTGAATTCTGGCCACCGTCTCTGGGCCACACCCAGGGAACCAGGAGCAGCTGGGCACCTCGGGGCAAATGTGCATCGTCCAAGGGTGGCGCAAAGAGACAGGCGCTAGAATGTGGGACTACCACAGGGCACCACCATCTTTACTGAGGCCTGGTCCAGGCACCTTCCAGACACAAGGCCAGAGCCTGTTAGTCCTGGGGGGGGGAGGGAGCTGGCAGCTCAGCTCTCCAGCTGAGCTGAGATCGCTGGTTTTCAGAATGCTAACAGTTTTGTCTGCTGTTCTCCTGCCATGGTTCACTAGTTCTGAGCGTAGATGCTCAGAGGTTGGGGAAAATTTTTTGCAGTTAATTAGGAGGTACATTTTAAGAAGTTAGGATTGAGCCAGGCGTTCTGTTTTTCAGCACTAGTTTAAAAGACATGAAGTTACTTTTCAAACAGACAACTGTTTGCCCCTGAATACCAGTGTCTCCCGCTAAACTTGAATGCACGTCTATCACCCAAACTGATGGGCTCCTTTTACGGCCTGACAGGACTCTGAGGACTTCCTGTACCTTCTGTCAGCACTTTTCACTTCCTGCGAAGCTGAGGTGCCATCCCCCGCAGGTCCTGCTCAGTGGAGCGCCTTTGCCTTAGCTCTGAACTCTTTGATGTCAACCTTTAAAATGCACAAGTTGGAGCAGTGAGATGGTTCAGGGTAAACCAGGCCTGAAACCTGAGTTCAATCCTTGGGGTCCACATGGTGGAAGGAAAGAACTGATTCCCAAAAGTTGTCCTTTGACTGCCACACACTGTACCATGACATATACATACTGGTAAACACAAACACAGACACACCACACATACAGGCCGCACAAACACACACCACACACTAAACACATACACAACACATACTCACAGGCACACACCACACAACCAAACACTCACACACACACACAGAGTGCAAAGTGATAAATGCAAGAGCATGCACAATGATAAACACTGAAAGAGCAATCCCCCAGCCCTGACAACGGTCCTGAACATTTTCATACCAAGACTATGCAGATTTCAGTTCCAGGTTCACAGCACCTGGGGGAAATGACTGACTGACACGGTTTCTATCTTTGAATGTATAATTTGATATAATAAAGCTTATTTTGATTAAAAACAAAACTGCTGAAAGGGGGGGATGGCGCAAATGAGGAAGAGGTGAATAAGCCACAGTTTAGGGCCTAGAATTCTGAAATCTACCAGCAGCCAAGTGTCCCTGGGGCAATGTGAACAAGATGTGTTGGAGGAAGGCCTGAGGCGCAGAGCTGCCCTCTGGGGCTAGAGTGGGAGTCCTGGTCCTCACTCCATCCTACATACCTCGGCTCCACAGATAGTGTCCAACTTCTGTAACACTTCCAGACCCAGAGGGAACCTCACCCAGTCTAGGGGTTATCCGCCCTGCCACACTTTCTGATTCTGAATCGCGATATCGCAGCGAACTTATCAGACTGTAACTTAACAAACCACAACACAGCACATGTACTTGTCCTACAGAGTCCCATTGCAGGTCACTGAGCGTGTAAATTCACAGCGCATGTTTCTCAGGGTCAGAGTTCAGAATTTCCCTTTGTCTTCTCTGCTGCCGTCCTCCCGGCCCTGCCTTCGAAGGTTGCTGTCCTTGTTTAGCAGGATGAAGACATCCTAACTCTGTCCAGTGAAAAATAACAAGAGACTGCTGAAGGCTACACTAACTCAGGGCGAGCTGCTGGGTGTGCCCTACTAAAGCTGAGGAAACAGTTCTAAGTGTGCATGTGCTTATTCACCATCAGAAGCCCGGGTTCCCCAAAACCCCTACGCAGCAGAGGGAGGAGGCACTACAGACACTGAACAGCAGTGATCTCCCATTTTCCCTTAGGTTCCATCTGAGGCCTGGGGCTGGAGGTTTCAATTTCCCCTGCTGTACTTGCCCTGTTTGAGGTCTATGGTTCCTCTCAGCACCATACTGGATGATTTAAAATAACAGTGAGAATTCAAGGCCATCCTCGACTTGAAGCCAGATGGGGCTAGTGAAACCCCCAACTCAAAAAAAACAAAACAAAACAAAACCAAAGCCACCATTGAAAGTTAAGTCAATTTTTTTAATATAACTTAGTTTCTACCAGGAAGCAGTCAGTTGGGCTCTTCAAGTATATTTTGTGTAACAGGTCCTCGTAAAAATCAGGCAGCATCTGTATTTCTCAATAAACAAGAATATATTTCAAATGTGCCGAGAGAGCCTGCTATTTAAGAGCCATCCATGTGATTTAGTATGAAAACTAAAGTTATTAATGAAATATTCTTCCTAAGAATAATCCAATCCCACTGTTTCATTTGCTTGATATTGCGTAAATAATTTTTATACAGCACCATCAATTATCCCAATGGTAGATTCACATTATAAAATAACCCCTATATTCCTGGATTCTGCCAAGCTTTAGTACCTGGCAGATTCTAGACAAAAGTCATTTAATAAATGGATAACGAATAAAAGTCAACCTCCTGGATTAGAGAGCTCACAGATTTAATAGGGTTGTTGCCAGAATAAATTAAAAAAAATGGCCTTTATCCTAAAAAATCTCTGTTAAAATTAAAGGCAACTTCATGTCACACAGCTCGAACAATTCCAGACTTTGAAGAGAAGGCAGACTCTTCTGCAGGTTTACCATCATCCTCTGTGTGTATTCCTGGCCTTCTCCTAATTCTTTATTGTATAATCTCCTCAAGCTTAAAAAATGAGCCAAGTATCACTGCAAGTGGCCTAGGATATTCACAAAGTCCTTCCAATGCTCTTTGTTCAGCCTTGAAAACAAAACAAAACAACAACCCTATTTTCCATTCCAGCAAGGGGAGACATTCTCAGGTCTTTAAGATTCTGTTTTTCAGGGTCAAGAGCAAACATGCAAAGATTTTTTTCTTTTCAACTTTAAATTCTAATTCTGCTTCAAGATGAACTATGTCCCAATTATCCTGGGGACGGAAAGCAAAAAACCATTTCTCTCTTTCCGTCTTTTAACCCAGTCTCTTTAAAAGAGAGAGAGGGAGAGAGAGAGAGAGAGAGAGAGAGAGAGAGAGAGAGAGAGATGAAATCGTGGTTATTCTCAAGCCAGATCGGAGCTGAACTGCCTCATTTTAAGAGTGTCTCAAGTCATTCCCCTACTCTGGAACAGACCGACGCAATAAGCCAACTCCTTGTGGCCCAGAGGCTCTGTCTGGCGAGAACAACTTTTTAGACAATCTGGCTGCTCAGCTAACCAGAACCAGGCTGCACTACTTTGTGTTCACTGCCCAGCCCTTTCCTGCCTTGAAAGACTCGGAGAGCGAAAACGCACCAGCCTTTGGAAAACCTGCCTCATCTTTTCAGGCAGAAAGCACAGAAACCGATGCCTGGACCCCCAACTTCTGACAGGCCTCCTGGAGAAAGTCTGAGGCGAGCCCTGGACCTGCGGGCAGCGCTCCCAGCGCCCAGCAGCCCCGCTCTAGCCCGCGCTCGCTCGGAAAGGCTGCACAGGTTCGTCGCTCCCGGTCTCCTTCCCCGCACACTCCCGGGACCCAGGCGGGGATTCTTCTCTTCCTTCCACCCCCAATTACAAACGCAAATCCGCAGTCCAGCTGAGGTAGACGACGGCTGGCACAAGCGTCGTCGCTGATCCCGTTCATCACAGCATCCCGCACAAGGACGCCTCCTCGTTGCATAATTAAGTGATGAAGGCTCTTCCCGGGGATCTCCCCGGAGCACCCCGAGCCAGCCCGCCCGAGTCCATCACCCTTCCGTCCCCCCGGGGTGGGGGTGGGCGGCCGCAGCTCGGACAGAGCCGCCGCCCCCGGGGTGCCCAGCTCACCCTCCGCGCAGCCGGCGCTCGCGCGCTCCCCGCGGCCGCCGACACTCCGCTCCGGCCTCGCGGGGCCTGTGGGCGCCCCCGGAGCCCGGGAGGCCGGCCCCGCCCCGG